ACACAAGGTCTTTTTGATGTGGGACTGCCCTCAGCCAATTCAAAAATTGCCCCGTCTCTACTGCCATTATCACACTAGCGTCAATATTCCCCCGACCGTCCAGCTTTTAGTGCAATAAGGGAGGTACTGCTGCAAGGTTGGAATCCCCGGGAAGCTAGTAAAATGAGAACAGATACTACGCATTGATCCCGACCAAAAGGCCGAAAAGCGATATGGTGATATTTATCCAACCAACTCTGGATGTGACACAAGATCTTGGGTGCATGCATATGGGCCTAGGACAACAAGTGGCCTGTCCCTGCAACCACTGCCACGCTATTACACCGACCCTATCTCTCTTAATACAATGAGGTTGATCCTAATCAAAACGCTGATTCCCAAGGAGGGAGCAAGAAGGACCCGGCACCGTCTCTCTTTTCAAAAGAGAAGCGATACTACGCATTGATCCTAACCAAAACGCCGATAATTATATAATTCCCAAGGAGGGAGCAAACGTTCCTTATTAAATTTAACCCTCATTATGGTATTTGGAAATCCTCGATATATCACTGTTAACTAAAAGAGGAAGTTGTCAAAAGAAGGCAAAAAGGGGAAATAGTTTAAACTTGTTATCTTAAAAATGTGCCCCACAATAAGGCAATTGTGAACTTTCACTAAGTATCAATGTTCGTTTCTAGTTCGTGTCTAGGATTACAGTGATGGCTGCTTTGTTGTTTATAGTTTATGGATGAATAAGTGCGGAGACGAAATGAACCTAAAACAGCTTCATAAACCTACTTTGTTCAAGACAAGTCGGTTGACAGCGTGGTAACAAGATTTATTTGTACTGATAATAATAATTTAAATACAATTGTGAAATGTTGACTTCATGGTACGTCGATTATTTCAGGTTATCTTTGCAATGTCAACGACTTTGGAAGTCACAAAAAATTCAATGAAATTCTCCAAGAAATGAATTGATAGATAACTGTAAATAAGTACTTCATACTTCATGTGTGGGTCAGTTGATCAGATGGAAACAGTTGTTAGTGGATGGGGGAGACCAGTAGAATGGTTTTTGGTTAGATTCTTGTTTTCTGTGTCAGTTGATGGAAACAAAACAAAATGGGTGAAAAGAGAATTGCCATAAAATCATTTTTTGTTTCCGTAAGCCTTCTATTTTATTTTGTGTTTGAATTAGGCATAGTGATATTTTGTTCTACGGAAAGATGCTGAGGATACCATGGACCGAACATGTGAGCAACAACGAGGTTTTTGAAGAGAATAGAAACAAAAAGGAAACTTATACTTAACATCAGGAAGAGGCAATTGAAATTTCTGGGTTACGTAATGAGGAAGGAGGGCTTGGAAAATCTGATACTCACAGGACAGATTAATGGGAAGAGGGGCTGGGGAAAGCAGTGCGTAACATACTTGATAGGTTTGTGCAAATGGATGGCAGAACAGGGTTTGGGAGAAATAAAAAAAGAAAGACAAAACTTACTAAGAGTTACAAGGGCTGGATATGTGGAGAGCCATGATCGCCTATGCCCTGAAAGGACACGGCACATAAATGAAGAAAAAGGTATTTTTTGAAGCTTACTTTTCTGTAAGCAACATATTGAATCAAGATGAAAGCATAAATAGCAACAATAAACACGAAAAGAAAAAAAAACTTCACCTGAGAAAACAGTGGAAATTTTACTGCACAATAAACAACGATTCCAATCTGGATGTAAAATTAATTAGCCCATTATAAAAGCCCTCGCTTCCTAAAAAACAGATCTTTCAATCTTCTATGCACTGTATTCCTTCAAGACATGGGTCTCCACAACTTCCTGTCCTTTGTAGCCCTTATTAAAGTTTGTCTTTTTACTATCCCTCCTAATCCCTATTCTGTCAAACATTTACACAAGTTCGTTATGTATGTTATTTGCTGCTTTCCTCTGTCGCACTTGCCTTCAATATATAATTTAAGTGTCACATCTTAGAAATTTCCACTCTCCCTTTTTAATGCTATGTATAAATGGCCTTTTTGTTTTCCATTTTTTTTCTAAAACTTCATCGTTGGTCACGTGTTCAGTTTTTGGTATTCTTACCATCCTTCTGTAGAACCACATTTCTGTTCCATCAAGTTTCCTCTCTATCTATGATGAGATTACGAATTATGAGATGGTCTGCACACTATTATGAATATTAATAAATAATTTTAATCAAACAATATTCCGTGAGTGGGTTGTTATTTCATATAAAAAAGAAGTAAATTTTTTTTAAAAAATAACGAAACATACCCTAACAAACCCGTGAATTTAAACTTATTTTCCTTGAAAAACTGAATTTTGAACAAAAAGGACATGTTTATTCATCTGATAGATACACAATACAGAACTCGTTTATTTTTCTGCAACACAACATATACATTGTAAAAAAATGGCCCAAGCTAAAATTCCTCTAATTTAAACATGTCTTCCTTTCACCATGACAAAGGTTTTTTTAAAACTTGTATTTATCCCGTAATTCTTTATCTTTTGAAGAAATATTTGCTATCTTCACATGTTCTTTGTTTTGACTCGAAAAATTATTAGTTATATCGTTCGTATTGTTATTTTCTATGTCTGTTTTACGAATGCCAGTGCATTGTCCTGCTTAGCTATTGGAGTATGAAAAAAAGGAAGCGTGTGGTTACTTAATCTCTTTCCCTTGGGCAATTGCTTTCTTTCAGGAATTGAATTATTGTAGGAAAGTATCTAGTGAATAATAAAAATGCACATGTCTTGGTCTGTATTTCATTCTAAAAGTGCGGTTTAAAAAAATAATGCCGAAATTCGGTATCTAGAATGCGGTCACACTTTTAATATTCAATCAGTTAAGTTCCGTACGTGATACACGCTTGGGCGACGATGTCTCTTTTGATTCATAACTGACTAGGCAAAAGATTTTCCCGCCGTAGGTTTCTATTACTTTTTGCGGTAAACTGGTTGCCAACCAAGGCTATAGGACCCAGTCTGTTCTACTATTCAACACATATCTTGAGGGAGAAGAGATGGATTCATGCTTTTCCCAATTGTATTTGCGCGTATGCGAATGTAATGAACTTGACTGGAATTCGAACTTAGTCTTATGACTTCTCATTTTGATCCGACAATATACAGTCAATTTGATCTGGTATTTGCTCAATGAATTATCCCCCAAGCCTTTTTTAATTATTTAAATAGTTTCTACTCAGAGACTTGATATATATTTGTTCCTCTTCATTACGTAACCCAAAATGAATGCGTTTTATTCGAAGTAAAAGCGCATGCAAAAACATCAAACGCTACGCCTACTTTTTGAAATTTACCAAAATCGATTTAAAATTTTCAGAACTTATTTATTAATAAAGGAACCGTATACTGAATGAGTTATTTTATTAGAAAACTTTATAGGAATATTTGGGATGCTCAATCCCAACCCCAATTTCGATATATCGTGTGTACTTGTAAATTTGGGAGGTGTAATATTTTTACAGTTATATAATACTAGTGATAAAAACAAAAAAAAAATCCTAAGGAAATTGAATGAAATCGGTTAGACTACATGCCCAAACACGTTAGAAAAAAATCAATTTTAATTTCAACGTTCCAACATATTCAGCAGTTCTTGTTGCTGTATAATTATAACCAACGTTTGTGTTTTTATATTTTCCCCTTCCTTTTCTACACATACACAATTCCATCAACAAAAGCATTACTTTAGTCCGATGAAGTCCTTCTAGAAGAGGAAAAATGTTACACAGAATTTTTCCACTTTGTCATTCATTTGCTTAATACAGTTATATAAAGAAAAATGCCTGGGGAGTAATGGGAGAGAGCTATGGTAGAAAGGTTTATTTTCTCTTTTGCATTTCCCTCATTATGGGCATTATTATATACGTGATATAACAACACTGTATTTCACTGACGTAACGGAATGGCTGAAAGGAAAAGGAATGACAAACATGCTTTGTTCTCAGAGAGACTTTTATACCACAAGACATACACAAAACTATATATACATATTTACACGTGTCCCACACAGAGAAAATATTCCTACACAGTAAGCAGTGTAAGGAGAACAAAAAGGAAAGGTCTTACATATAATATGGAGATTCTTCTGTGTTTCTGGAGAATCCAAGTTTAGAATTCCAGATTCAAACAGGCCGGATTCATCTACTATATCCCAGGTGAGGACATATTCCACAAACGGGAAACAGCGAGTCTTGTGTTTTCCCAAATTGATAACTGCGAGCTGGATTTTCTTTCTATATCTGGGGAAGATAAATTCCCAAAACGAAACGACACCATGGACTTGTAAGCTGTAGCATTTGGCAGCTGTCTGTCTCGGGTTGACGAACAAATACGTGTGTCTTGTCACCAATAAGCTTACTGACTGAATGATTGGCTACTTTCTCAGAGTATGAAGTGACGTCACTAAGCGGCTGTCACGTAACCTTTTGACAAATTTTATTTATTTTCATTGCTTATTTATTTTCATTTTTACAACAAAAATTATTGAATGTCTTACCTCTAGCAACTATTTCTATTTAAGAAATTTCTTTATCATTACTATAACAATGTTAGACACAAAATAGAAATAAAGATATCACTTGGAACCGTTGAATAATTGAAGGCTGTTGTAACTGACCTGAAAACTCTATTTTTACAAAGTTTTTTAATAAAATAAACTTCTAAAAGTAAATTGAATTCATCATTGAGTAAGTACTAAAATATTCACTGAGATATGACTATTCCCTGATTATATCTTTTTTTCATCTGGCAGTAACATTTTTCATCTGGCGGTAACATTTTTCATCTGGCAGTAACATCTTTATATTTCTAAAAGCTTGCATAATATTTAGAGGTATCTATAATTTTTATGGCAATTTAGCCTGAAAGAAATCAAAGTAAAAGCAAACAATTGACGCTATCAACTCAATAAATTTTTATCAATTTTCCCCATTATTTTAGTAGCAATTTCGTTATTTTAATAAATTTTCTTAAATTCATAATCACGTTGAAGCACCGGTTCCAGTAGGATCAATGAAGTTAAACAACGTAGACTTTGGTCAGTACTTAGATGGGTGACCGCTTGGGAATACCATGTGCTGCAAGCTTGAATGTACGGGTGGTGTAACGGAATTGTTAATCGGAGAGCTAAGTTCCAATTGTTGTTGGGTTCATTATATTCATTTACGTACAAATACCATGGAATAAGTATGAATTCACCTCTCCTCCCTCCAGGTATGGGTTAAATAGTAAAACTTGTATCACTAAATCATTATTATCTCTAAAAAATTATGAAATGATTTTAATTTGGTAGTTTTTCCTCATTTGCTTTAGTACTGTTTGGCAAGTATAAGCTTAAAAATTTTCATCATCCAAGTTATCTATACGGCATTACACACACACACAGAGACACAAATAGGAAATCTTTCCTTTCAAGTTTTCTTAGGCTACGACCATCTCACAAATTCAAATTCCAGTCAGGTTCTTTATATTCACTTACGCGTAAATACCCTTGACAAAGGTATGAATCCACCGCTTCTCCCCCCAGCTATAAGTTAATTAGTAAGATTTGTATCGGTAAGTCATTATCTCCCCAAAAATTCATATACTCTTAAAATATTTTCTGGCTATAAACCGTAGAAACCGAATCGAGCCAACAATCAATAAATTCAGAATGAAAAAAACCTTATTGAGTGCAATTAAATATTTTATGATATGAAACAGGTAAAAAAATTAAAGCAACAATTAAAATCAAAACTTCATTTCACTAGTTTTAATTATATATATATATATATATATATATATATATATATATATATATATATATAGATAATATTAGTGGAAAATATACCATCATCCTCATACTTACACTTTCTCTAAATTCTGTTTTGATTTCAGTTGTTTTTTCTGTTTTCATTTTGAATTTGTAGGTCTGATGATTTGGATCGTATTTATTCCAATGGAATAAATTATGACCATGGAATATTAGTGTTTAAGCCTTTTTTATTATATATATATATATATATATATATATATATATATATACTTCTAATGTATAAAAAATAATTAGCCATTTATGAATCTATCACGTCAACCCTCACAGTTCTACATCAAGGTCATTAGGGAGGCATTCTGTATCATATCTACTGGCCAACATAGGTGGTTGCTGGGCGATTATTTCATCTTTTTCCGTGGCTAGGTGTTCAGAACAGTAGAGGAAGTGAAATAAATTCTAGTGAAAAGGATGTGAATATTCGCTTTGAATAAAATTGATGTAATCTGGAAATCTGATCTACCAGACAACCTGAAACGTAGATTCTTTCGAGACACTGTAGAGGCGGTGTTAATGTATAGTGTCACTGCTTGGACATTAAACAAAACCCTAGAGTCTAAGTTTGATGAAACCTAAACTCGGATGCTGAGAGCTATACTTATCTCCTGGAGACAACATCCAACAAAATCACAGATCTAGAGACCCATCTCTGATATTCATTAACTTATATTAAGTTTCATAAATGGGTATAGAATTTAAAATGATATTCTTAAACTATTGGTGATATGAGGTTAAAGATAATTTAGTTTTAAACATAAACAATACCAATTTTTGGACTGTTTTAATGTTGGTCATCCGTATTTATTTAAATCATTTTGCGCGCTTTTTAAAAGTCAGGCTGGCAGTAGAAGACTATTGTTTTTGATCCATCACCTTGACGACAGCTCACGGACCATGCATGAATAAACGTTATTTTTGTTGTTTTAAGCAAAACGTAAGCAATACTTTTACAATATTTAGTTAATTAATCCATAAATATACTAATTTATTTTTAAACAAATCTCTTGAATTTTTAAGAGATTTTTAAATGAAATTTTTATGATTTTAATTTTCGCATATTACAGAGGTTCGATAAGTGATGAGTGACCGTGCCAGTGTTTTAAAAATGTCTAAAAATTTTATTTACATACACAGATTTATTTTTATTTTTTTAAGGATTAGCTTTCAAATAAAACCAAAATTTAACTTCAATGAAGACATTTCAATTATTTTAAATACGTTTTTTTATTTTATTTTATTAATTCTTTTTTTCGTAGTAAGTTCGTTGTGGTAACTATTTAGTATCCACGGAGTATTGAGCATAAACAAAAAAAATGAAGGAAAAATTGGCAAAGTTTAACTTTTGTGCACGCAAAAAAAAAAAAAACGGTATGTCAAAAGAACGGTTATCCCTTGACACCTCTATTGTGTTATAATCATTTCTTTCCCTCGCCATTGTTTATTGTTTTAAAACGCGATGATTAAAATTTTACAAAGCCCAAACATATGAAAGTGAATTTATATATTATTTATATATTTACTTTGTTCTTGAAAATTTACAACAAAAATATTAAACACTATTTATTTATTGGATTGTTTATTCACAATAATAATTGTATATTTACAAAGTTATAAAAATATGTGAACCAACTAATACAATGCAATGTTTATCATTTACCAATTTATAAAGAAATAAATATGAAAACAGTTTTTTATTCATAAATTTATTAAAAAAAATTACTAAATTATTAAAATATGTGAACCAACTATAATAAAATTTTTATTATTTACCATTTTATGAAGTTCGAATCGATTAGCAATTAACTGATGTTTTGACAACAAAGAACACAATTCGCCAGCTTCACCAATTGCTTTGGTGAAGGTGATTAATGTCAATTCTCCATTTAAGAATTCTTCATCAGTCAGCACTTGACTGACAATAAATAATCTCTTGACAGATGTTCTAGGCATTTTTAGAAAAATTAGCAACGATTTAAAAAAATACTGAATGGGTGTGGGTGACCTACAATTGCTGAAGTTTCAGGCCTTGGATTTCTATTGATTAGGTATCTTTAATCCTAGATCGCCATGGTAAAAAAGAAAGGAAAATTAAAACAAAAAGTAATCGGAGATATGAAATAAATTGGGAAAAATGTGTAATGCCCGGAAAAACCATGTTTATTTAAATTTTCTAATTCTATAGTTTATACATATTTTTTTATAAAATTATGGATTAAAAAAATTGTTTTTGTAGTTATTTATTTATAAAATGCTAAATAATAAATTTTACATTGTACTTGTTTCACATATTTTGATAATTTGGGAGATTTTTTATAAATTTCTGAAAGAGATTTCTTTTCAAATTTATTTCTTTATAAAATGATAAATAATAAATCTTTCCACAGTAGTAAATATAAATATTGCATTGTACTTGGTTCACATATTTTTATAATCTTGTCAATAAATATTGCCGAAAGAGTATCGATCGTCTACAGTAATAGCGGTGTCAACAGAAAAAATGTCCTTTTTGTTATGGGTACAATGTTTAAACTTTGATGAATGTTTTTAGAATATTTTAAGTACAACAAACTTGTAAAATTAGTTAAATGCAACCGTCATTTGTTGCCGAAACAAATAAAGTTCGTTAAAATGCAGAATTTAAAAAAAAAATTGTTATATTACCTAAACAACAATGTTCACACGAATTTTGTTGGGTGTTGGGCAATAAACTCTAGTTGCTTGCGTATTTTTAACCGGAATCAGTATTCAGTGTTCAAGCCCAGGTAAAAGCCAACATTTCAAATCTGAGTAAGGACGTTCTAGTTACAAATTAATGAAAAAAGGTTTTGTAACCTCAACAACCAATTCGTTAGCAACTGGTTTATACTGCTCATTCCTGCAAATTCTATCGCGATAGAAAGGATAAGGAGAGAAGAAGGAATGCTTTCCACAATATATTCTTCTTCATTTTTTAATAATTTCCCCCAATCAAGGCGATAATGTCACTAAGACGCAAGGTGTTACTGGGTGCCAAAGAAAATGGGAAGACTTAAGTGAGGAGAAAGAACAATAAAGGAACAGGATTCAGGAAGACAGAAGATTGGGTTTGACGTTGCATTTAAAATTTTTAAGCTTGTAGGTCCCAGGGAAGCAGGAAACCGTAAGAAAGTTCCACAGGCGAGAAGTGCGAGAAAAGAAACTGTTAGAACAGAACTTATGATTACATCTAGCTGATTCAACAGTAAAACGATGAGACCTAAATGCCAATCTAGTAGTATGCTTAAATTTATGTGGTCGAAGTACCAAGGAAAAGATCTTAACTGCTATGAAAATATTTGTAGAAAAGACAGAATGACGCCAGACCGTGGTGGTGGAAAATGATTGACGTCGAGATGCTAGGTCAGGACCAATAACATTATAGAACCTCCTTTCGATTTTCTCGGGAATTTTAAGATACATAACAGGATCGCCAGGCCAAATTCACTCCGTATTTTATCAAATTTGGCCTTGTATCTGTTTGAGACAAACTTATTAAATTACTGAATATTGATATTCAATAGCCCTGAATTAGGTCGCTGTGTATATTTTTCTCAATTGATTTTCCTTTACGAATCGATTGGTTCAATTCGTAAGTAATCTGGCAAGTAAGTTTTCACAGGTTTGATTTATTTTTATGGAAGCAACAGCTTTCTGCTACCACATGTTTGAAGAAGAAAAGGGGTGGTCGATTAGTGGTATCAACGTTTCATTAAGTAAACAACACAAGGATTAGTATCAACATAAGTATTTATTTTAGACATATAAATGCAACTCTTAAATATCCAGCGTAGAACAAGAAGGAATTTTTTTGTTGTTTTGGGTCAATACCAAAAAGGAGTGGCCGTAGCGGACTAATCTCATCACACGCTTATGTCGAAAGCAGTGTTTCTCAACTTTTTTTTTTTTTTTTTTACTTCAGGTCTCACTTGTAAAATTACTAAAACTCTGAGCATGATTTAAGTTTCAATAAAGAAAATTAGTCATGAAATTTGAAAATAGCTGGGGGAGAAGAAGAGAATTCATCTCAAGGAAAGTGAATGCAATTGATTCGACTGGAATTCGAACCCGGATCTCCGATTCCTGAATCCGAGTCGCTATCTATTACTCCACCATCTCCCCTTTGAGACATTCCATTGTATATTTAAATATGCTTTACGTGCTTGTTAGGCCTTATATTGATTTTCTAAGCGTATCTTAGATGTGGCACAAGGCCGAGAGTATGGGGCACTACTCGGTCATAACTGTTTTAGCGAGACAAGCTTGCTAACCATTACACCACGCCAAGGCGCCCATTGAACGTTAGACCTTGTATGTGATAAACATACTCTCATTTCCTCATCAATGCCTTTAATACTTGATCTGTTTTTTTTGGATTTAATATTGCTAGGCGAGGAAATTCCTAATTCACAGAGATATGATGAAGAAAATTGCAATCAAATATTCAATGCTTTACGAGTTCTTGAAGGGTATTCTTCTTGAATAGAAATCCAATATTAATCAATGGACACCTTTTTATGCTTGATTTGTAAGCCACGATCAGTAGATACAGTGACCAACTCTTTTTCTTCTAAATGACAAAGACTTGGCTTGTTGCCTATAGCTTTTTTTAAAAATAGAGATTTTTTAAATAAAAGAATAATTTATAAATTAATCTTCTGTTGACTTGGAGCGCACCTGGCCACCTTTTGATGCGCATTAGTACGCCCGGGGTTACTTGTTGAGAAACGCTGATCTAAAGGGATCTGTGCAACTCGACAAAATCGTTCTATATTTTTTACTATATATAGATGGGTATATGTAATGTTTTGAGTGTATTTCATTGGTCTTTATGATTTATATTTATTGGCAAAGGTTTCAGGTATAAAGAAAACTATGTAGTAGGCACACTGTATACGCTTTTTAATTGATCCTTGACTTTTGCAATGCATCTTAAAGTTCCATGTTTTACAGACGAAGTAAGTGATTGCGGTGGTTATATAACAATTTTATTTTTTATTACTGTTAGTCTTTGTTGTAATAATAAATGTTTAATGGTCTTGGTTGTTGTTTTTTGTACACATTATTTTTAGAAAAACGTATTTAAAGAAAGTCAGACGGTTTGTGTAAAAAAATTGTTACGTATATCTTTTTAGGCTCAGCAGTTAAAAGCCGCCAAAATTGTTAAGAATCCATTTCAAATTGATGGAAAATTATTTTTTCATATATACTAAACAATGACAGACGTGATCTCAAACCCTAGTAAGAACCTGAAGTGGGGACTTGTGTCATCCTCTTTTTCCGAATGAATAGAACTCAGATTATTAGATAAGGTTTTTGAAATCAAGAAAAGAGGACCAGAAGGTTTTTGGCATCAAGAAAAGAGGACCAAAAGGTTTATGACATCAAGAAAAGAGGACCAAAAGGTTTATGACATCAAGCAAAGAGGACCAAAAGGTTTATGACATCAAGAAAAGAGGACCAGAAGGTTTTTGACATCAAGAAAATAGGACCAGATTGTTTTGACATCAAGAAAAAATGACCAAAAGGTTTATGACATCAAGAAAAGAGGACCAGAAGGTTTTTGACACCAAGAAAAGAAGACTAAAAGGTTTTTGACATCAAGAAGAGAGCAAAAAGAAGGTACAAAAATGACGAATTTGGTTTTTGTGTAATTAAAATTTTTATAGTAGATCAAAAAGAAGAGTCAGGGACATAAAAGTTTAATTAGGCTTTCCTCTTGTCTTTGCTAGAAGTCGGAGCAACTTTAGTTGATTTTTTTTTAATAATTATACGATTCCTTATTTTGTCTTTTTGATAAACTATTTATTATTTAATTTCATATTTCTTTATTAACTCTTTTTATTTGCTTACCATAATTCTTTACAGGTTGGATTGTATTCTTTAATTGCTGGACAAATGTTTATGAATGAATATATAAATATTGAAAATAATACTGTAACTCACATATATAAAACGTCTGAATATCACCGTATAATATAATTATACATACCTTAATGTTTCAATTAAGGTATGTATAAGATTATTATTTAAATTTTATTTGCCTCACTCGAAAACTAAGTAATTAGCGAAATTTGAAAATGGTATGTATAGTGTATGCTGATTTGCTAAGTTTGCTGTTAAAAAAAAAGTTGCTTCACAATGTCGTGCCAGGCAGGTCGTCTTACCTGAATCCATCTTGTACCTTTATAAGTCTGTGCATTGAATGTTCCTGCCATATCTGGCCAGGTGTTTCTGTTAAGTATGTAGAGATTTTTGACAAAATTCAAAGAATAATCTGTTTTATTATCGGCTCTAACTTTGCATTGCGGCCTCAATTAGTTCCCACTATCGTAACGTAGCATTATTATGCCTTTTCTAAAAAATAGTTCCATGGTAATTGTTATGATGAGCTTTTTACTCTTTGATATTTCAACTTTAGGAATTTAAGTGTAGTACTAGATTGGCAGCTAGGTCTCATCATTTTAGTGTTGAAATTGCTAAGTTAACCATACTTTCTATTCTAATTCTTCTCTCGCACTTCTTGCTTGTGAAACTCTCTTCTCGCTTCTTGCTTTCCTGTCAACTACGATCTTCAAAAAGTTAAATGCAACGTCAATCGTCATTTTCTGTCTTTTTGAATCCTGTTCTTTTTATTGTCCTTTCTCTTCAATAACGTTTTCTCAGTTTATTTTAATCTCAGTAACCTCTTCAATCTTAGTGGCTTACTTTATCGCCATACTTGGGGTGAAATGATAAAAAAAAGGATTTTTTATTGAATGTGATAGATTTATTCTAGAACCGTCATCTTGTTTTTCTGGCGACTTTTAACGGATAGAGAGCCCACAGCGGAAGGTGCAGTTAAATAAAGGAAGGTAAGGGTAGCTGGGAGAGTGTGAGTGAGAAAGACAGAGAGAGTAAAAATGTGTGTGTGTGAGAGAGAGAGAGAGAGAGAGAGAGAGAGTGCGCCTGATTTGTCAGTGACAAACTCTAAAAAGAAAACAGTACAAATGCCGTCGTCGTCGTTGAGGAAATTGAAAATAGAACCAAGCGTTGTTTTCACTGTAAGCTCCCTTTCTTTCTTTCTTTCTTTCTTTCTTTCTTTCTTTCTTTTACATTAAAGCAAAAAAAGATACCAGAGTTAGGATGCTTGACTCCGTTGGTAGTTGCATAATTAAAAGAAAAAACAGAGTAAGTGCAAGTTGAGGCGTTAAAAAAAAAGAATTTTGTTTTTACTCAACAAATTGCCATTATTTTTATTTATTTATTTATTTATTTTTTGTCATATCATATTTTTCTTTGGAGCAGAGAGGTCCAGACATGATCGAGTTGTGCTGCATCTATCCTACTGCAGGCATTTTTTGTATTTGCTATTACCATTTGTTCAGCTATTCTTCTTTGATTGAAATACTCTTGGTTCGTCATTTTATTTCCGGATGGTCGAAGTCAATTCTGTGACCTGTAATGGCATGTAATGCAATCGCTGAAGTTTTTCCAATTTTTGTTTTTCGTTTTCATTTGAAATTACCTTATCACAAAGTCTTCAATGTTCATCCAGTCGTTCTTTCAATGATCTTGAAGTCATGCCCACATAACTTGTTGAGCAGTTCATGCAATTAATTTTGCAGATCAGATTGCCATTACTTGTAACTGAACTTTCATCTTTTAATCTGCTCTTACTTTGTAAATGTCATCAACTCGTTTTTTTTTCCTTGATTTGAATTCTTAAGCGTTTCGAGCTTCTTTGCACTGTTTTACTCAAATTAAGGAATGACCAAGACTGGCAACTGCTAGTTGAAATATTTCCATAAAAATAAATCATTTGTTGGAACTACAAGTTTTTTTTTTCTTTTAAAAATACCAGGATATTTTCTTTTTACCAATAATTTTATACTTCGATGTAAACGAACGTTAAAAAAGGTGCTACTATAGTATCCATTTTCTACTATAGTATGCTATTATGTCTTTTCTACTATGGTAAGATATTTACCAACTGTTGGATGTATGAAATATGTTAGGGTTAGAGGTTAGGGTTAGTTTTAGGGGTTAGGGTTAAAGGCAGCGAACAGTGGACTGGTTATGCATTAAAAATCATTAACAATTTTTTATACAAAAATTTTTAAAAAACCATCAAATAGTGATTTTAATGTTTGTAAGCTGATTTGATGTCATTTTAAAAAACAGTAAACGGGTGATCGTTTTTTTTTTTTTTTTTTTTTTTTTTTTTTTTTTTGTTTTTGTTTTTTTTTTTGCTGAGCATTTTCCAGCAATAAATGAATGCATTTTCATTTACGGTAGGCCGCAAATGCCTCGGTAGATGTCATACTATAGAAGCAACGATTTTTTTGTGAATTTAATCTTGCGTTTTGACAACAGGAAATGTTAATAGCAATTTGAAGAGTAGCCTTTCCTATTGTTTAATAAACCAGCGACTCGGAATGAAAAATCGGGTGAGTCGAGTTCGAATTCCCGTCAGGTTCATTACATTCACTTACGTTCATATGCCCTCGAGAAAGGTAAGAATACTATTTACATCGTTTGGACTGTTGTCCTCATCTTTATTGCCATATTCATGGCGTTTCGGCTGTTGTACGCTCCGGCTTTCTTCGGGTAATAAACGTCGGGGGTAGATTGTTCTAAAAGATAAGGACAGCAGTCCGAACGATATAAATAGTTACAAAATCTTATCTCAGAAATATAGACAGGTATGAATACATGTACTCCCTCCAGCTATGGGTTAAATAGTAGAACTTGATTGACTGGTTCGTTTTTATGGCTTATCAACCTTTCGAAGGTTATTTAAAGCCAGAAAACATATTTAGATTGTAAGAAGTTTTTGAAGGTAATGATGATTTACTAATACAAGTCCTATTAATTAACCCATAGCTGAGGGAGAAGAGGTGGATTCATACCTTTCCCAAGGGTATTTGTGTGTAAGTGAATATGACAAACCCAACTGAAATTGGAACTTAACTGTCCGATTTCTAATTCCGAGCTGTTATCTATTACACCACCCGCACATCCAAGCTAGTGTTCCCAAATGGCCACTTATCTAGGTACTGACCAGACTGGACGTTGCTTAACTTCAGTGATCGTACGAGAACCGGTGTTTCAGCGTGATATGGCTGTGAGCCGATTGTGCGCGGAATGAAAACGAACTTAGCGTCTACTTGTAGATACACATATAGAATTCTGAGCGCGGGTGGGTTCTTTTTAGGAAAGAGGAAGAACATTGATAAACATGTCACGTGTCCAGGTATGCATGTGTCACTAGGACTTGTCTAACAGGTTTTTTTTTCCATGAAGGTGGAGGAACCAGATGTGCAGAGCTTTGTGAGGAAACTCTTTTTTCTGCTTGGCGTGATATCTATTATCGGCTTCAACGACTGTAATTAGAATATAAGTTTTATTGAGTCACACAGATAAATACGACACATTTTCGCATTCATTTTCGGAATAAAAGTGCGAGAAAAAATCGTGAGCATAAATATTAAAACGGGAAGATTTTTCTTTTTTAAGCTTTTTTAATTAATTTTTAGAAGTTACGAGGTTGGGATCAAGTAAGTATGTACGATATTGACTTTTCATCGCGCCCACTTCACTACGGAATCTGACACAAGGTCGAGGTTTAAAGTGGGTTTAACGACAATACCGAGGAAAAATTGGCCAGACCCTCTCGGCACTTCCTCTTTTGGGGACGCCTCAGGCGCCAGTATTGACTCTAGTCTCCTCCCAAAGGAGCGGTACTGCCTAGGGGGATGCCCCCTCTCTTGGGCCTGAACATAATGTTATTTTGAAACTACTCAACCGAAGCCAGATCTATACGTCATTAAGAATTGTATGGAATCATGCCGAACAGGAATGTTTTAAAACAAGAAACCAAACAAGTGCTCAAATAAGAAAATAATGCAAAAAAAAAAAGAAGACAATATTAAAAGTGTCACGATAAACTGTTTTTGATCTACAGAACAACCTCGGTTCTCGAACGTCTCATGTCGAACAAATCGGTTTTCGAACAGAAAATTCGAGATGAAAATGACTCGGTTATTGTTATACCAGAACATTACCTATTCTATTGTAATATACTCTCCCACACATAATAAGTAGTAGTAGTAGTAGCGGTCGCCAGTTGAGCTCAGTGGAGTTGAGTGAGTCAGTCGATGTCGGACATTCAAGTATCAACCATCACAACTAGATTGCTGCGTCATTAACTCTTTTTTCAAGTTCCTAACGTTTTGTACGTCTGACTCTTTTAAGACCGACTTAGCGAAATACAAGCCTCCACTGTGAAAACTACTCTACAACAGTTATCGAAAAAAATTTCGGTTCTCGAATAACATTGTAGAACCGAATTAACCCGAACGGAATCATTTCTGAGTCGACCGCCATGCTGTATACATTCGTGTTGTGTTGTGCTTTTCTTTTCCAATTTTATTGTACCGTGCCTTTTTTTTTCTCATCATTATTCGTCAGTCATGGTCCAAAAGAAAACTAGCATTGATACTAGTAAAGGAAAAAAGAAAAGTTGAGAGAAAAACAATTGTTGATGATATTTATTTACTCCCCTTCTAAGAAATAACTCCTTTCTTTCCCTTCTTCACTTCCATCTACATATGCCATCACATCGCAACCAAAAAGGTACGTACATAATAGTGTGGTATGTTAAATATATTTCTATTATGTTTTTTCTTTTCATTTACACCTTTGTGTGTTATTTAGAGTTTCGATAAACGTTTTTATACTAAAATATATAATGTAAGCATGTAAATAACCATTCATCTGGTGCTTAGAAACGAATTAATCTCTTTTACATTAATTGTAATGGGGAAATATGATTCGGTTCTCGAACATGTCGGTTTTAGAACAGACTTCCAGAACATTATGGTCCAGAACCGAGGTTGCCCTGTACTGCAAAATATTTGATAAAATAAAATCACTCTAAAGGAACAGAAGAAACAAAGAATGATATCCATCTTCTATGTTCTGTGTCCCTTCATGACGTTGGCGATCATAGCTCTCCACAATTTCCTGTCCTTTATAAATCTTAATAAGTTTGTCTTTTTGCTATATCTCCTGACAACCATTTACACAATCTCGTTAGGTATCTCATGCGCTGAATTCCTCTATCCCTCATGTCGTCAATCTGTCCTGTGTATATCAAACTTTCTAAGCCCTCTTTCCTCATTATGTGCCCTAGAAGTTTCAAATGTCTTTTCCTGGTGTTAAGTATAAGTGCCCTTTTTGTTTCCATTTTCTCTAAAACTTCGTCATTATTCACATGTTCAGTCCATGGTATTCTCTGCATCCTGCTGTCGAACCATATTTCTGTTGCTTCCAGTCTCTTCTTCATCTGTGTTGAGATGGTCCAGCATTTACTACCATATAGGTATACCTATATAACGTAACAGTGCAGTACTCATTTCTTTGTTTCTTACGAAATTTGTCTGTTTCTTGATACTAAGTTTGACTTTTGGGAGGTTTTAATAGCACAAAAACTTTTTCAATAAGAATTTCATTCTGAACCTCTTTTCGCACTCAATCAAGAGTCATATTAAAGGAAAACATATTTTTGTCGGAATTTCTGCCATGAAACACTGACTTAATAAAACTGTTATCCTCATCTCGATTCTTAGGGTCACAATATTTCCACCGCTGTAACCTTGCGGTTCACCTCGTTTGAGAACACGTGGTTTTATTTCGACTGTTTTTGACACCAGTACAAACATTTTTAAGAGGATAGGAAGATATGGAGAGTCATGATCGCCCACATCTTGAGTTAAGGCTCATAAAAAGATCGTTGTTCACCTACTTCATCGTTACTTTGGCACTCTTTCGGTGAAGTTTAGCCATTTTCAGAATTAACTAAATATTTTTGGTATTGATTTTTTTTTTCATACAGTTTATCTATACAAATTTTCAATCTTCGATATTGAAACTTCAGTAAACTTCAGCACTGTGAGCGCCAGTTTCGTTGTCACTGATATTTGGATATATAAATTTTCGTGAGGTCATGTGCAATTTTGGAATGCAGTTAAATTACTGTCAACCAGATGCATTTCGTATCAAATGACGCCAGTTTGAGATTTTTGGAATTTTTTTTAAGCTTGTATTGCTTTCGTAATGTTATAATAATCACTCAATAGTAAAGAAAGACGGAGAAATACCAGCCATTTCAAAACGTCTCATTAATTAGTAAATTGGGGAGCGTCGATGTGGAGAATTCATTTCTTTGAAGTCGGTTCCATATATACTGTGCTGTACACATCTGGCCTTGTGCTAGAATAATTTCAGTGAAGTAGATAGCCTGGACTTGAGACACTTTCAGAGGTTGGCGTTTGAGTCGAGGTAAATTCGAATGATGATTTTCAAGAGAGACATAAAACGCAACACATTCTTCCATCATTTTTCCAAATCTTCATCTAAATTAAACTTAGTAAATATTAAGAGGATGAAGAATAGATATTTATTGTTAATCTATAATTAAGCGGGTTTAACCCGTAATGAATATTGATGAATTTTCGTATAATAATAGAATTAAAGCGTTTGCTTTAGACTCTGTAAGTATGTTGACACTGAATCCATACTCTGAAATTCTTCTAGGACCTCAGAACTTTTTGTCATACGCATGTGCATTAATGGAGAAACATTCTCACTCACTGGGAAAAAACAAACTTTTGGCTGCTGCCCAAATAAATTATACTGGACTGGGCTAAATCAAGTACGCGGATTCCCAATTGATACTTAGAATTGTTCTTACATCAGCGGATAAGTAAAACAATGTCTGATAGTAAGTAGAAACTGAATCCATTTGGCAGCATAGATTACATTTGCACAAAATCTTCTTGGCTCTCATAAAGCTGAACGTTATAAGGATGTAATAAATTTATAACAATTTAATAAATTTATAAAGATTTAATATAGTTATAAGGATGTAATAAAGTTATAAGAATGTAATAAAGTTATAAGGATTTAATAAAGTTATAAAGATTTAAGATATTTATAAGGCTGTAATAAAGTTATAAAATTTTAATATAGTTATAAAGATCTAATATAGTTGTAAGGATGTAATAAAGTTATAAGCATGTAATAAAGTAATAAGGATTTAATATAGTTATAAGGATGTAATAAAGTTACAAGGATTTAATAAATTTATAAAGATTTAATATAGTTTTAAGGATGTAATAAAGTTATAAAGTTTAATAGTTATAAGAATGTAATAGTTATAAGGATGTAATAAAGTTACAAGGATTTAATAAACAATATACTAACAACGTCCATCTCATTGGATATCTCCTAAAAGGCATTTCTTGCATTCTTATTTTAAATCGTGTAGCAATTTTATTTTAATTTGATTTTAGAACTATTTGGTGGAGTTACGTTGGGACGTTAGAGATTTACACCTAATAAGAATGGTAAAATTCAATAAATCTCGGTGGATGTTAGTTATTCTCATCTGTGGCGTACATACATTATCAAATGTTCAAAACGTTTAATTATTCCCAAGCAAAATGTGCATAAATATCCATTGATGTAAAATGTGACCATGCATTTTTGAAGGGACTATAAAGTGAGCTGCGTTCAATTCCTGATCAATCTTGTTTCGTTTGCTTCGCGTTAATGTCTTTGGAAAAGACATGAATCCGTTTTTCCCTCAGCTAGGTGATAAGCAGCCAGGTAGCCTGCTCTCTTGTCTACGGTTAACCGTTATTTCACAACCTATCCGTACAAACAATCTCTTAACGTAACACTCTACCTCGAGTGGCTCCGTCCTGTAGTTTTCTTTCTTTGTCTACCATGAAGTTTCGCTGAATAATGGGTCCTTACAAGACAAGCTGTCGATCACAAGCAGCCTCCTTTACACTGTCTTTCTATTCATTTTGAAAATTGTCACTCATGTCTTCACTTACCGAGAAACTATCCCCAGTGGACTAAGTGCCCGAAATTCTGGGGACATTCTTTTGTTCGACTGATAACATTCAATCCCACTGATTGTGCATGCAGAACACACACACACACACACAGAGGATGTGATAGGTAAATTTTCGCCATTTTTATATTTTTAATTTCGCGTATGCGCATTGTTTGTCTTTGATTTTGTCGTCTGCACAGTACAGTAGGATCCGTTAGG